GGAGAGATGAGAGAGATGAGAGAGAGAGAGAGAGAGAGAGAGAGAGAGAGAGAGATCCGAAATTATACATAACTCTCGCTGTATTTCAATGCATTGCTACTTCTTTTTGTGTCAACGATTTGTTATAACTTTTGTTGTGAAACAGAAATGAAGGATACTACTGAACTACCACCGGCACCGGTACCGGTGGCCATTTTTTATCAGTGTAATTTACTTTAATTTATTTAATTTTTGTAATTTTAATTTTTTAAATCCCTAAATTTAAAAATATTTATAAAAAATAAAAGTATTGCATTACAATACCGGATGTAAATTTAATTTAAATTTGTTATTGAAACATAAACTTCAAATGTGAGGCAATCAATACAAAACATCAGGGTATTAATAATAATTTACGCAAATACCTTGATATTTTTGTATTCAATTTCATCTATTGAAGTTATTTTTGTATTCATATAATGTTTCAATAACAAGTTAATTAATTTTATATCCGGTATTGTATTGTAATGTAATACTTTTATTTTTTAATAAATATTTTAAAAATGATTTTGCAATAATATAGATAAAATTAAAAATCAGTGCCGGTGCTGTTTAGTAAAAAATCGGTGCCGGTGCTGGTGCTGGTGCTGTTACCGGTGCTGGTGATGGTTCAGTAGTACCCAGAAATGGAGAGACATTTATGTTGGATGTGTTGTACGAAATATGAAATGCATAACACGTTATGATAATTCCCTCCCATATTCTCCTCTAATATAATGTATTTAATATTATTTGTATTAAATTGGCTAATAGTATGGCATTGTATGATGAATGTACGCCACTGCCATTGTTTTTGGTGGTGATGTCGATGTCTCTATGTTGTGGTTACGATGAACTTTGTCTACGAAAAGAAATGTTTTCATTCAATTCATTCACTCATTTCTGTGCGGATAATATCAGTGACTAATAACTGATATAAACAATTGAATGCATTATTTATTATTCATAAACTGTTGGGTCTATCGCTGATAAGAGAAGTCCAGCAAATGAAATAATACTAAATATAATATGATTTTCTCCATACAAATAGTCTTAAATAATAAAACAAGAGCTGAATTGACAAAAACGTTAATGACTTTCTGGCAAATGCTTATGTTTTTTATATAATTTATATGGCTGTCCGTGTAATAAGATTTATAATTGAATTTCTTAGTCTAATAAACAATTTAATAGCGTCAATGCGAAAAATAAGTGAACACTAAAAATGATCATTCAAAAGTAATAAAATGTCTAAAACAAAAAGGACTACACTTTGACAAAAATATTGAATTATATACTAACTGTATCTATATTATATACAAATAATTTATAATGTACTTAATGATTATTTCCTTTGTAGTTACTATTTCGAGTAAAATTCTAAAAATATTGTTGAAAATTAGTATATTTTTTTTATAAATTTACAAATGATTTTATATTTAATTAATTTATTGTTTTGTTCTACTATTTGTAATTACCGGTGTTAATACTGTAAATAGATCTTATATTTGAAACTTATTATTTTGTTTAAATTTTGGTTTTACCCTAAAATTGTAGTAAATGTTTTCGTGAACAGCTTAATATTATATAATATTAATGCAAGAATATTCTGTAAATGAGACATTGAAAGTCCTAAGCCAATGGTGTCCTCTGTATACAGGGAATACTACCAGTAAATAAATAATCTATTTCATAGATAGCAATGCTTGTACTTATTGTATGTGTTGCACAGAATTTAAACAGAATTCTGGTAGACATTCGCAAGCAAATAATGTTTTTATTTATATAAAAATTAAATTATAGAATATATATTTTCCTATTATTAATAATTTAAATTAACAATTAATAATAATTAATAATAATTAATAATAAAGAGAAATTATAATCAGCTATTTAAAAATGATTATAAACAAAAATTCTAAAATAACTAACGTTACGCTATAGTTAATTTATAGATTTAGTTTATATATTTATAAATGAAATATTAATTAATAATTGATTTCTAATATGAATTTAAACATTAAATAAATCAACAGAAAGAGGAATAATATAAAGACTTTGAATATTGGATTCAATTTATTAGTTAAAGAGATATATTGTTGACGAATGTGTAGAACAGATGGCATTTATGGCACAATTGATACAAACGATTCTTGAGATCAGCTTAAAAAACACAACAATTCTGTGAATTCTGTGAAACATAAATATAGCGACAATAAAATGTATCAATCAAAAAATAAAGTTATGCTTACATTCAATAAATACAATATTGTTTTTTCAATGAAAATCAATAAACGCCTTGAAATTAAACTCAAGAATTACATCGTTTTTGTTGTCTGTTTTACATTATAATCACATTTATATCGTAATGTATAATAAGAATTTAGCCTTAAATTCATTTCATTTGTTTATTTTGTTTTGTTAATAAAATTATTTCTTAAAATATATATCAATATTAAAGTCGATGATTGGCTTCCCTTTAGAAAAGACAATAATATTCTTATATATCATTATATAAAGAGTTCTTCATTTGTTATCCTATATATCATATCATAATATTAAGCGTTGTTTTCAATGTTATCATTCACTTCGGAATAAAATAAAAAAACAAAATTTTTAACAAATTAGCATAAAATAAAATACAAACAAAACAAATGTTGTAAAACAACAGCTTTGTATAATGTTCACTGAAGTTTCTAATAAACTGTTTGGCAATTAAACATAAAGTTATAGTTGAGAAATATACAAATTGTGTGATAGTGCAACTTATTGTAAACTTTACATTAAACAAAAGGTTTGAATTTATAAAAATGATACAATAAGTGATATAATAGGTACGGATGTGTTTGAATGTGTAATCAACTCTAACTATCAGTACTTTAATTGTCAGACCCAACCATTGCCTGTGAATGTATTTTGCGGGCAATCATTGATATTATTATATTCAATGTTATTCATGTGGGACAGAGAGCTGTTGGAACGGCTGATGTAGTGGTGATCGGCGTATATCTGATGGTGAGTCTGTTGGTGCAGGGCTTGGCTGCTGTAGTACGGGTGCTGTGGTGTGTGATGCATGTGATGGGACTGTTGCGGAATGGGATGTATGTGCTCGTGGTGTTGCTGCTGATGGAGCTGTTGTTGCTGCTGCTGATGATAGGCCAAACTGGTCTTGACCAGATTTCCGTGATTCTGCACCTGAAGGGCACTTCGCGATAAGCCATTGATGGATGACAGGGACGAGGAGGAGGTGGTGGCTGTTTGGGTGCGCTTGTGTTGTTTGGCCGCCTCTAACATCATATCGACGTCCACTAAATCACTCTTTGATAGATCAATGGTTCGCTTTCCGAACACTTTCACTAATATTGCCTATGATTTCAGTCATTGAATCCAATGAATCCGTGTATGAATTGATGGCAAACAGTGGGAAAGGGAGAGAGAGAGAGAGAGAGAGAGAGAGAGAGAGAGAAGAATGTTAGGAATTAGTGATGGCATCGGCTTTACTGTTGACACAGATATTAAACGTGGCTCTCGAGGAGCACAGGGAGTGGAAAGGGAAGGGAAGGAAAGACCACTTCGCCGATACTTTACTTTCATGATAATATAGTCTCGTTTGACAAAGGGCAGATATTAATAAATATGGATTCAGTGATTGAGAGTATTTTCCTTGTTTTGTTTACCCATCTCTGAGAACTTCATTTTTGTATTATTTTTGGTTTTAAAATTAATTTTCTTAAAAGATCTCTAAACTAATACAACTACAGTATAGTGTATTGTCAATGTTGGCACAAAAAAAAAGTAAAACCTTTGTTTGTATAACATTACGATAACTACTGGCGTGTGTGATATGACTGGCCATTGATATTGATTTGGCAGAAAGTACTTGATATTATAGTATGTGACAAACAAATGGACGAAAAAACATTATTAATTAGATGTTGACATTTAAACTGCTTATACACACTGTAATGGCCAGCGCTATGGCTCTCATGCAAAGAGGAAATAAGGAAATCCTATTTCTATTCACTTTTATTCACTTAATTATCGATTTTCTCTACCCTTTCCTTACGTTCCGACTGCTATTGCATTTGTACTATCATTTGATACCTCCGCTCCTCTCGACTCCCAATTCATGTGTGCCTTTAGTTTCATTTATTACAGACGAGAGAGAGAGAGAGAGAGAGAGAGAGAGAGAGANGGCACACATGAATTGGGAGTCGAGAGGAGCGGAGGTATCAAATGATAGTACGAATGCAATAGCAGTCGGAACGTAAGGAAAGAGTAGAGAGAGAGAGAGAGAGAGAGAGAGACTAACGTTAAAAATGAAAGACCAAAATGAGAGACAAAATCCTCTCTCGACTGCCGTTATCTCCAATATAAGTCTCTTTTTGCAAACCATTATCATATCGTATGAGTAAAAGGGAGATAGAGTTAGAGGAGAGATGAGAGAGATGAGAGAGAGAGAGAGAGAGAGAGAGAGAGAGAGAGAGATCCGAAATTATACATAACTCTCACTGTATTTCAATGCATTGCTACTTCTTTTTGTGTCAACGATTTGTTATAACTTTTGTTGTGAAACAGAAATGAAGGGTACTACTGAACTAGCACCGGCACCGGTACCGGTGCCGATTTTTTATCAGTGTAATTCACTTTAATTAATTTAATTTTTCTAGTTTTAATTTTTTAAATCCCTAAATTTTAAAATATTTATAAAAAATAAAAGTATTGCATTACAATACCGGATGTAAATGTAATTTAAATTTGTTATTGAAACATAAACTTCAAATGTGAGGCAATCAATACAAAACATCAGGGTATTAATAATAATTTACGCAAATACCTTGATTTTTTTGTATTCAATTTCATCTTTTGAAGTTATTTTTGTATTCATATAATGTTTCAATAGCAAGTTAATTAATTTTATATCCGGTATTGTATTGTAATGTAATACTTTATTTTTAAATAAATATTTTAAAAATGATTTTGCAATAATATAGATAAAATTAAAAATCAGTGCCGGTGCTGTTTAGTAAAAAATCGGTGCCGGTGCCGGTGCTGGTGCCGGTGCTGGTGCTGGTGATGGTTCAGTAGTACCCAGAAATGGAGAGACATTTATGTTGGATGTGTTGTACGAAATATGAAATGCATAACACGTTATGATAATTCCCTCCCATATTCTCCTCTAATATAATGTATTTAAGTTTAATTCAAAATTTATGCCCAAATAATTATCTCTCAAAATACTAACTATTTATAAGCAAATAAAAAAGAAGAAAAAACTATAAGTAAAATGAAAAATGCATTAATAATCCCAACATCTGTTTTAAGTACATTTCCCTTTAGATTCTTAGCAAAATAGCATTTCACATTAGTTTCTCTCTCCCTTTCCTCCCATTCCTATTCTCAATGCGAGTGTGGAGTACATACTATGTGTATATGTCGGAAAATAGGCATTAGTTTTAATGCCCATAGAATGAGAGAATCTTAAGTCAAATTTAGTATTACTTTTACATCTCTTTTATACTTATATTCTCTCTCTTTTTCCTTTTAATACTACTTATTCTGAACTCTACTTTAGTTTTAAGAGAATTTTTTAATGTCTTCGATAGTAGTTAAGTATCATTTCCAATAGGCTCTAACATCTCAAAGGTATGCCAATGCCTGCCTTTCCCATTATTGGGAGCACACATGAAGCACCAGAATATTCCGTATATACAGTATATTCTGTGCGACAGAGAAACAGTGATGCATAATATCATCGAAAGAGTATTTACAGTTTAAAAAGTTACAGCATTTATTCCCACAGCTATTAAAACGCCTTATGTTTGATGTGATGTTTGTCTCTTCACTCATGTTTATGAATTGAGACGAAATTCTGTTGTTTTTTTTATGACAAAACACTATATATTTTTTGGTGCTGTATTTTCCATACATACACTCACTGGCAGTGCCTTTTTGGGCTAATGTTTTTGAAAACATTTCTCCGAAAATCAATTCTTTTGTTGAATAAACTATTTATAAATTATGACAGATTTGAGAGTTAAGGCACAGAAATATAACTTTATATACAGTCATAAAATAAAACTTTTTCTCTCTCTCGGAGTGAATCAGAATTTCGCTTTTATTTTGATGCAAGCAATCGATAAAAACAACAAAAGCTTTGGTGAACGCAAAGCAAACTAAAATAGTTAATCCAATATAACGTGTATTTCTTATACACTGTGCGCTCGGAAATTGTCTCTCATTTAAGGAATAATTGATTTTTTGGCCAAAAACCAGTGTATGTCTCGTTATAGATCACAGCAAAAAGTAACATAAAATACGAGTAAATTGTCGGACGATTAGAGTCGGTAGTAGTAAATGAAATAAAAGTGTTTTGTACTGATTTGCTGGCATTGCTGATGGCGGCAGCAATTGAATGGTAGGGCAATGTTCAAGGAAAGGGAGGCAATGGACATGAGAGTGGAGTGTCTACTGCTATAAGACTTACCACAATAAGTAATGTGATTAGACATAGTATGGCCACATAGAACCACTGCTCATTGAACCATCTCTTTAATGAGGCCATACTTTCATTAGATAACAGGAGTCGTCTTAATGTGGCTAATGGTCCGGACGGGTCTACTTCTCTGCACTTCTGGAAAGCATCGCAATAGCCGTTATAGTTATCACATGGAGTGCCCGCTTTGGCGTACAGGTCCGGCACGTCGTACGGCACGGAATTCCACTCAAACGATGACCTATCGTATAAGTGGACAGGGATGTAGTGGATTGCGAGGGGGAGGGGATGAGATAGCACTCAGTCATTGAGTTTTATATACGCAAAGATAGATAGTTATATAAGACATGTATATAATATAAGTGATGGCAATGCATACAATACGGGAGAGAGAGAGAGAGAGAGAAAAAAATTGGACTAATTTTTTCATGATATCTACGATTCCGATGCGGGAGTCGTTATAACCCTAACTGTTATTATTCCTTAGAGTATAATAATATGAAAAATATTTTTTTGTATAAAAGAGAGAGAGAGAGAGAGAGAGGTATTGAATGGGATGGGAGATGGAGAATGTAATACACTGTTAAAGTCATATTGATGGGGATGGGTAGGCATTGCCATTAGATATATATAGAGGGGGTGGCGTGTAGATGGGGGTCCACTCACTTGCACGTCGAGTCCTTTGAAGGCAGTCTACAGCAGAGTTCGCATGATTTAGTCATCGGATCATTTGGTCCGCGCCTACACTGACACGACTCCAGACCATAAGCCATACATATACTACCGGTGCACTCCTGCACATTAAAGTAACAAAATTATATTAGTATAAAGAATTGCCATGATTATAATAAGTATTATATATTTTATTTTCCGTTTTATTTATACATTCATAAATTTGACGACAAAAAGCGCATTTATAGCGGGGATATAAAAAGCGATGTAATGTTATTAAAATGAAAATAAAAAACTAAACCAAAAATATTGCATTTCTTATGTGTGTGTAGTGTAGGATTGAATTCGCATCCAATTTCTGGATATATGTATCATATAATGGAATATTCTTCAAAGAATATTCAAATTAAAATCATGTCATGCAATGCAATAGCATCTGAAATAGTGGGCTGAGATTTTATAAAACCTTTTTTAGGTTAATATACTGTATTTCATACGAAATATTATAAATAGTTTCGTGTTTCTGTCAAAAACATTACTCAAACTAAACATCACTGGATGCGTGTATTATTTAAAACAATACTCTGTTTGCAATGTAATTGCTAAAATTACTAATTAATATAATAATTATCTAATCTCGAAAGCGTTTTCTTTTGTATATTTCATTTAAAAGGCAATTGATTTTCATTAAAATCGCTACAAATTGCAGCAA